GCTCGATGTTCTTCTTGTATCGCAGGGTTATTCCACCAACACTTTCATATTCTTTCTTTGAGATGGATCATCTTCCCTAATTGCACGTACGTTGGTACTATTTCTTTTTAATCGGAATTGCTCTTCCTTGTATTTTTTGCTGTATGGAGTTTCAAGAAAAATTGGGTAGAGTTTTCTCACGTTGTTACCACAGGTAGCCGTCAATTCTTCATACCAGATGACGGATTGTCTTGCAATTATTAAACTTCTAGCTCGTAGCGAATATCAAAAGAATTTTCAAACCGGCCGTTGTGGACCATCGATGTGGATTATCGGCTGTGACGAAGGCGAAGACACCAGATTGTCAGCTCAATAAATCAATTTATCAGCTTCATGTAAACTTAACAATTTAAGTAGATATTGATTATTTTGCTACCGATGTTAAACGACGGTCGGTTTAAAATTTTATTCACTAAGATTAATAAACGAGAACGGAATCTCGCCATGAGCAGCAAGGTTTCTGAAAGTATTAAACACGTTAACTGAACCGAAATCATTGAAGTGTCGTAAGAATGCAGGGCTAAACTTGTCTCATCTTTAACGAATTGAAGAAGTTCTTCAAATCTACTGAAGCGCAGCCGGTCGCAGATGTTCGAAACACGAAGCATTACTTGTGGGTGTACCACGGTTCTTCGCAAGCTGTGCGACAACTCAACACTCAGAATTTCCTCATTTTGCCGCAACACTCATTAACTTAACAAAAGGTGTAACAATGAGGAAAAGGAAGAAAAACGATTACGACAAAATTATTCAGAGCCATTCCTAAGGTTATCACGCGAACACTGAAGCTGTGTAACATGGCTGCGGAATTGAATGGCTCACAGCAAGCTATCCTTTTTTTGGTTTTAACTCCATTTCCACAAAATTGAGCAGTAGCCAGTAAAACCAATATAAACCGTTTTAACGCCAAATCTGGAAGGAGTATTCTTCGACTAGATCTCAAAAAAATGACTTTCTTCGCCAACAGATGTGGTGCAAACTGGTCATTTAAATTTTGTGGAAGGAAAGGCTCTGAATGCTCCAATTTCGTATCATACACCTAGATCGTAAATTTACCATGGCGAAGCATGTAGAACATCGCAAAGCGACCGTTTAGCGGGAGGTTTGCCTCCCAGTGGGGCTTCTCAGGCTGAGAAAGGGCTCGACATTTTTATGCAAGAGCCAAACTAAGTGTGAACCAATACCAGACACCGGAAATTATATCAACTAGTCGCAAGCCCAAGATGGCGGACTAAATGCGTTATTTACAAATTTTTCGCGAGACTAAAAATTTGGAAAAGGAGGTTGAAATATGAATGCAAACCTCTTTGTAAGACCACTTTCTACAGCCTGTCTCTCCCATAGAAAACAATCATTTAACATAAAAAGAAAGTCGCTGCTGAACATGGGATTTTTCAAATGTCGCTCCTCGTGCGGCGCTCAACTGCGTTCTCATAAAAGAAGATGGTACTTCTCTCCGTGACACCAACATTCTGAACTGAATCTGATCATCGCCTTCTACGGACTAAGATTTGATTCTGCCACAAGCTAGACAAAAACTCTTGTCATCGTCCAAGAAGAACAAGAAATGTTGTATGTGAACAGAATAAAGGAAAAAGAGATGAAGTTCTTCGCGTATATCAATCTCTGAGGGATGCACTAACCATTCCACTTCATCAAGCATTGTTAGAGGTATCTGAATGCATATATGGTTTGTTCATTGAATCGGTGTGGCCTTGTATCGAGTCAGTGCTGCTATTCTCCTAGACAGGTCCGGCACCAATTCGCTCACTCCAGAGGGATGGAAGACTTGGTGATGAGCCTGGGATGCCGGATCGAACTTATGCGTATTGTAGAGCACCTCTAACAACTGCGCTAAACGCACCTCATTTTTTCCAAGCAAGGAGTTTAGATTACACCACTATCGCCATTAAGGAATTGCTAGAAAATAAAAGGAAGCTGTAGCTCGGTCATACTGTTGCACAATTGCATATAATAATGCCTTCTGCAGGTCCAGGTAATACCAGCAGAAAAGTAGGTCAGAGAACGAGCTAACGTGAAGAAACGCTCATTGAGACCCGTGTGGACATCATGTTCAACCACCGGCCGTGAAGGGAAAAGTTAAGACAGTTTAAAAATTCGTCGTATTACAGAGTTAATGCTCCATAGCAATTTTTTACGTCACATAATCCCTGTTTAGACCTCTTAAATCCTTGCTGCAGAAAAATCACTCAGAATTCTTTCGTTTGAAGACCGAATTGCGATAGAAAGCATGTAGAAAAGCACAACCTCAGGATCCGATAATGTTATATTATAACGAGTCTTCTTCGGGGTGTAAGCCGCATGCTACATGCGCTTACCACGACTTATTTGACATCTTTCCATTAGAAAACATCGATAGTTAAGCACCGATGGGCAATAATGCAACTTGAAGAAAGAATGAAAAAACTGCGTTGTGAGTTCAAGGATACTCAAGCGTCCTTTCTGACAATCAACTTACGTTAACAATCTGCATTTGCAAATTGAAAGGTTTTTTGGGCCATGGAATTGCGCGGAAAAATTACAATGCTCGGGGCAGGTCGCCACCGTGTACCACGTTGGCACTGGAGAGAAACGAGTCAATATTGTGCTGAGGTCCAAACCACTCATAAAGACAGACCACCTAGTCGTCCAAATAAATAGGTGACATGGTTCTTCGAGAACTCGAATGTGGGTGAACAAGCTGGAAGTGCATTCAGTCTTAGTAACCATACTAAATGACGATATCATTCAAGTGGGAAGCAATTTCGGACTTTCAAACCATTAGGACGTTAATGAATTAGAAAACTTGGTATCGTAAAGTAAAATGGTCGGATGTATTTAAATAACAAGAATAGAAATGATAAGCCAGCGACCGTGTTTCGTTAAATGTCGAAAGCGCAGCAAGATGGTCATCGACTTCTCAATCAAACTAGGTCGCGAACACCTTGAATAAAAAGTGTGGAGTTGCTTTTATCTGTCACAGAAACTCTAGCACTCGAGCGGAAAGAATAGCGATTTTATATACACCTGCTCTAATCAGTAGGTGATCAATATTGGCACAGGTGATAAACAGCAAGGGGTAAAGCGTCTAGGGTTGATCAGTTCGTGGTACCATAAGTTCAACATCATCAAGGACGGTGGAGGTGATTGAATATATAATTGCTCCATATAATGACTTGTGGAGACCAGACAATAAAAACAGCACTACCTTTGTTTTCCCGGAAAAGTACGGCTCAGGACGGATAGAGGACTTTACTACTAGACAAGGGTGCGGGAGGATTGAGCCAACATCCATGTTCTGTATTACACGGCACTTTTTTCTTATCACTTGATTGCGCGCACCTCTAGCTAATAACAAATGGTTTTTGCATTTTATGCTTTTTCTCAGATTTGATTTGTGACGCTGTCTGATGTAATTCATTCATTTCATTTCACTGCAAGTACTTCTGTGAGGGAAAACCATCCACCTGTTTTCGAATTCTGGAAAAGTAACACAAATAAGTACATATTGAGCTATTATTGCTCATACACCAATACATAAAATGTTAGTGTTTAATTTATTTTCATGTTCGCATCTGTAAAGAACGCCTATTAAAGGCTGTTGGGATGATCCTCAATGTTGCTGTCGGCAGCTCGACGACTATTTATCGGAGAGAGTAACCTGAAACTGTTGAGAGTTACATTACTAGTACTGCAATAAAAAGTTGTCATGGAGACGTGACGAAATTATGGCTATCTTTCTTTTCAGTGAATTCAGCTAACCGATATAAAAAGCAAGCCAAAAGAGAGCCGATGATTGGCCCCATCCAGAAGAGGTATTGATCGAAGAGTGATTCCGTGGCTCGACGGTCAAACGAGCGCAACAGGCAGATCGATGTAGCTTGGAGTGAGTTCCAATGACAAGTCGATTGCAGAAGGCTAAGAACTTACAATCGATTTCAAAGTGTTATAACCGCTTATGAAAACCACTGCTCTATGAGATGTAAATGCGCATTTAAAAATATAGGTCATAAAGAATGTCGGGTACCTCAGAAAAGAGCTCAAGGCTATGGCCATGAACAAGCAGCTTGAGTTCTCCACCACTCTTCCAATTTGTATTGGAGTTCTTCGGAAACTAGTGCACAACATGAGATGAGCAACGACGACCATTGCTGTGCCAAAGAATTGTGAAAACATCTGAAAAAACAAGCAACATCGCTTAGAAGTATTTAGGAAGCACATATTCCTAAGCAACATTTGGGGGAGGGAGCCTGCGGTGCAGCGGTCGGAGGCGCCCTGCCATACACATGGGATCGATCCCCGCGCCGGTAGCTCACCAAGCCTTCCATCCTTCAGGAGTATGCAAATCGGTACCAGACTTGTCTGGGAGGATAGCAGCACTGACTCAATACATCGGTAGGCTACAGCGAGTCATTACAAAGGCCAGATATGCATTCAATCACCTCCAAACGATGCTTAATGAAGTCGAACGCATGGCGCATCCATCAGGGATTGTTCAACTCTGAGAGTTTTATCCTTTATCATTTTTAGCAACTAAAAATGTTTGTTGATAAAGCGGAACTTTCTTACTAGTTTATAAATGGCCTTCGTCCATTCAGAACTGATGTCACTATTAACTGTAGTGTAGGGCGGTAGTCCATCAGTTCGCATGGGCTGAAAAACGTTCAATTACTATGGCTAAGTCCCTACCCACTTTTTTTTTCATCAAAAGTCTGTAGTTTTCAGGCAATAGAAAGGTAGAAAATTAACCGCTATGGAAAGGTTTGCAAATGCCGAAGCAACAAGCTGGACGAAAAGTAAAGCAATACATAGAATCCATGATGTGGTGAGCGAGAAGAGATGTGCTATGGTAATGGCAGGATGGAAATGCACTCTAAAAAAGCATTTTATTTTAAATGTGCATGCACAAATTGAAGAACAATTCGACTAATGAACTTTACATCATTCGTAAGCCAATAAATTTAAAAAATATCCCACGTTTTCAGTGCGGCGATGAACATTGTGGCTGCCATGGCGTCGATGAGGGCCATAAAGGAGATTTTCTGCATCCATGGAACATGCCTTGCCGAAAGTTCATCCTCAATATAGACTGAGAGAAAAGTTGTTGCATAGACCTGAATAGGAAGATACTCGAAATACTTATTTCTACAAACGTTGAAAAATAACTGCTGGGTAAACCTGGATGGAGGATTTTCCAAGATTTTTTGAACATATGGAAAGTATGGATGTGCATAACAGAACCTAAGCTTCGAATTACGAGTGGCATTGGAAAGAGTCTGATGGCAACAATAATCCACAGTAACGCGCTCAAGGTTCAAAAGACGATGTTTCTTCGCACTTTGTAGAAAAGGCATGACATATCACCGGCTTTCTCTAACATTATAAAGCCATTGAGTTTTCGTCACCAATAGATTGCCTACGATGGAATTTTTTGCGTATAGCTGTTCGCGGCACACATAAAAGAAGAATAGAACTTTCAGCGTTGGTCAATCCCTGAAGGATGCGCCACGCAATCGGCTTCATTAAGTGTCGCTGGAGGTGATTGAATGCATATCTGGACTCAGGGTGGCCACCCGATGTATAGAGCCAGTGCTGCTATTCTTCTAGACAAATCTGGCATCACTTTCCCGATCCTGGAGGGAGGGATAGAGGGCATGGTGGGCCATGGGTTCAGGGATCGATTCGACGCGTGTGTTGCAGGGCGCCTCCTACTACTGCGCCACACGCGCCCACGTTACACGTAGAATACTTTTCACGGTGAAATAAAAGACTATGCCGAAAAATAGTTCTACTCCTGGTCGTGATGCCAAATATAAATATGGATCTATCAGTGATTCTCCCGTAGAATATGATGACAGGATAAATTACTGTGAGATTGTCGTCAACTGACAGTGTCGAGTTACTTAACTGTGAGGCTAACTAGTATGTTTACAAGAAGCGGATTAGGAGTTTGTCGTTTTCCAAAAGCTACCATGTATTTGTTCTCAGGCTCAAGAGATGAGCTCAATATTTGCCTCCATGAGAGTTAGTTAGTAATATAGGCGGAAATCTGTGCTTTTTGCCAGGCGGAATAGCTGAGAGACAGGCGAAACGAAAGACCCGCATGGTGTGGTGGTGAACGCGTTACTTCCCGGAAAGGACAATAGCGCGTTCGTTCCCCACCATAGACACCTGCGGTCCAGAGTTTTGCAAATATCTCAGCAACGTTTCGGTTGTATTTCGCTTAGTAACCTGCCATGAAAATTATAGAAGGCAGAAAACGTTAAACTTTGTGCTTTTTATTTAAAACTTGAAAAATATATGAATCTAGTACCGATAAGAATTCTGCGAAACACGTTCGTAATGCCACATGTACTCCAAGGTGACATTTTAGCGACTCTCTTTTCTGGAATTGAAACCGTACTCTGTGTAGATTCTGACAATTCTGTCAAAATTAGGACAATGATTGAGTTCGGAGAAACCGACGTTGTGGTTTGTGTAACAACAAATGTTCATTGACTCACCTGAATTGCAAACGAGTGCGGTTGCATCATTTGAAATGTGTGAGGTTGTTCAAATGATTCCTGGAACACATCCAAACTCTGTTAATCACATAAAAAAGAGAGATTTCGGACAGAAATTGCTACACAAGACGATAGTTCAATTTAGGGTGACTAACCTCGTGGATGCTTAATGTTAGGTAAAAATTTATCCACAAGTCCGTCTTTGTTGATAAGGGGGTGAATTGTTGAACAGTAACGATGAAATTCCAATACACAATTGGAAAAATCCATATATCTATGTCTCATTTCGATAACAGTTGCCACTAACAAAAACCGCTGTTACAGTACTAGTGCTTTATCGTATAGAACTCCTCGTTTTTATTCAGATAAGAACTGCTGCATGCTGATTTTGAGCAATTTTTAACCAAGATAAACATATGTTTTTCTTTTTAAAAATTGGTTGCAATATCCGATCTGTGGGTTTTAACACATTAACGGCAACGTTATTCGGAATAAACTAAAATGTGGTTGACTATAAATGGAAAGTAGGAGCACATGACTGAGTTTTTGTGCGTTGGAACGATGTCTTCTGAAAACTAACCAATGTCTAGCCGGAATGGACAGTTCAGATGTTCTAAAGCTACCCCATCTTTGGGATCCAGGAGAGTATACATCGAAAGCGAAACAAAGATTGGCCGATCACATAAGAAGAAGAACAGATGAGAGATAGATGGAAGCAACAGTGAACTGGGCTCCAAGAGAAAGCAAACGTCCTCTCGGAAGACCGATTATCCAAACGATGGACGGATGTGCTTAACGTAAACCAGCATCATTTAAAGATGGTAGCGATTTCAGGTTTACCAAATGAGTTTCGACGACCTTATCACAGGCCACCATCATGGACAGTTACTGCGTGAGAAACAAATGTAAAGAAGATGTGCTGGAGTAGGCGCTACAAGTGGAGATGGGCGATCCAGTTGTCAATATAAGTTTTTTCTACTGATACCCATATTAATTGATTTTATGAAAAGAGAAAAACATCTAAAAAATTTTAATGATGCTGAGATATTTGCAAAACTCCGGACCGCAGGTGTCTGCGGTGGGTAACGAACGCGCTATTGTCTTTCCCGGAGAGTACCGCGTTCACCACCATACCATACGGGTCCTTTGTTTCCTCTGTCTCTCAGCTAGTTCTACTGATCTTTTGCCATCAGCAATCACCCATAGCGCGATTGATCTGGGGAGCCTAAATCGGCTTGCGAAGTTTTGCAAATATCTCAGTATCATTAAGGTTATATTTCGCAATATGCCCTGCTGTTAAAAAGAGTAGGCAGTAAGTAATAAGTTAAAATCTAAAAAATCGCTTATCAAGAGACGACCTCTACGCTTTCATTAAGCTTGCTGTTGCCTGGGTTGGTACTAATTAAACTAACATAAGAAGAAAACTTCCATTAAGATCATTGTTGTCTCAATGGTGCTAAAAGTGGTGACATGAGAAAAAGAAAGGAGAAAGAGGTCAAAATCTTAAAGAAGAATTAAGTTTCATGTACTTTAAAGAATAACTGCCAAATCTATGGCGAAATTTGCTATTTATATAGGGTTGCACTTTATCTTCTATGAAGTAGTGACTAGATTCAACTGTATGCTCATAATTGATGCAAGTTACCTGAAAAACGTGATTGTTTGAAGTCGATTTCACTCCTAATTTGGTTTCGTCCCAATTTGGTCTCATCACCGAGCACATTGCGTAATCCGTAGCATATCCGTCATGGACGATTCCTTGAATATCGTCGTAGCGTGACATATCTATAACACATCGGTTGTATTATCCGTAATTTTTTTGAAGAACGAACGCCTCCAGCGCACACCAGTAGAGCCTCTCTCTCAATTTGTCGCTATGAGAGGTGTATCCATTAGGAGTAGGAATAAGAGTTACCTACAACGGTATGCAAAGGAGACAGACTGGTCTGTTCCACCCAACGATGTCGACATGGATTGAGAAGTTGTTCAACTAGAAGAGATTTGTCGGAGATGAGATTAGTCGGAAAGCGCTGTGAAACATTCACGTTCGGTTTACTCATAATTTCTAAGCAATTGACGGGGTTTGTTCGTAAATAAGGCTTGTTTTAAAACTCTCCAATGGATAGCGCAGAATGTGTTTTTAATTTTAAGCAGCAATGACTATGAATTAGTCATCCTGTAAGCTGTTACTATCTGGAGCTGCAACAATCTTTAAACTTTGTTCCTAAGGGAAATATATATTGAGCTCACGAGCCGCAATAGTGACATGAAGAAGCCTTCGAAGACAATATACTGCGACGAATTTGCTACAGCCCATTGAGTGAGTGATATTAGTAAGGTGGCATGTGTCAGTATCATCGTCTCTCCTCTCCTTCATTTGCACAGAAAAATCGTTTTCAACTACGCTGCAACTGGAGCCGGAAGTTTGGTGATATATGCAAGTTGTAAAAGTAAGTGGTTGCTCTTTCGAGAACTGCAGTGCCGAAATGGGATCTGCACCAATAAGAGCTTGTGTCTATTATTATAAGTTGAAGACCGTTGATTCCTCCCAATCGACGTCACACTGATCATCGCCGTCAACTTTGCACAATTCCAGAACCTGACTAAAGCGTTTGAAAAATAAGTAAAATTGTCATTGAAGGATAATGATCTTCAGTAAGTTGTCAGATGCTTTTCTAAACTTTTAGTAATTCTGTGTGAGAGAAAATTTTTCACTATCATTCACAAATCAAAGACGAAGCCGTATTCTTCAACTTCTGACTATACGAGGTCAGACCAATATATATCCAGGAACTTTTATGACCGTGGAGACTGGTGATAGATGAAGATTTAATTTTAGATAGAGTTATCAAATTAAGAAGCATGCAACTGTAGTAGTGGTTTTTGGTTTACTATATTACAAACTATAATGTCTTCTTAATGCGATTTAATGAAACTAAAATTCTATCATCTGTCCTCAGAAAAATCAAGCCAAGCCTATGTAGCTAATTCAGTGGAATTACGAATGAATATAAATGTGCCAACCCATATGTACACTGATAAATTGCCAGTGCTTCTCCTTTCGCTCTATAATAAACACTATTCCATCATTAAATTTAGTTTTTCCAGCACTCATCTAAAATCCTATCTTTTTCACATTTAGCTAGAGAAATTCATTTCTAGCAACGTAGAGACATACAAAATCTCGTTGCTCATTACTTTTTGGTTTTAAAATGGCGATAAAATTGACAGATTTAGACTTATATAGCCAGCTATTTTAACCAGCACCCTTTTGCAATGTTGGTCATGGCTCACCATCTTTAGTCTTCTAGGAGATCAAAACCCATTTCTGAAGATTACCGCACGGATTGCCCATTAAGCTGGATAAATTGTCGACAACCGACAAGAAATCATTTCCGAAATGGAACGAATCTAATGGAGATCTGTTGGACTACTCGTGATAGAAGATATGAAGGTTAATGGAACAGTAGGAATCATTAGAAGAACAGAATAATCTCAAGTGGGAAACCAAGAATATATGTTGATATTTCTAATCTCTGTGTTAACTAGATGCACTATCAACAAAACATGACTCCTTAAAGATTCAGCTGTCGATGTCACATTTGACCACTACCTGGACGAATGTTCGTCATCACAAAATAGACCAGAAAGAAGATCTCCTGAGGATCTTTCAGCGCAGTTCGATAACCGAAATCACTAACCTGATATGAATCAATGAAACTTCTTAGTCAGCCAAAGAAAGAGTAGAGAATGAGGAGTATGTGCATTTGTGAGAACTGAATGGTTACCTATTTTGTGAAGCCTTCAGGTGAGATGGTCCTAAGCCTGAGGTGGTGATTCGCAATGTTCATGCATATTCATGGGCAGTCGTGTCGCCGATGATGAGCGTACGCACTCATTACAACGTCGCAAGAGCACTGAATGAGGTGAGGCTAAGCCTTGGAGACATACAGCTCCTCAAGAAAAACTGCACCTCGAGATTCGCTTGTGATTTGTGCTTCGTCGATTCGAACCCAAAAAAAGAAGCGTACCCAATTTTACACAGAGCACTTTTAGGTACTGAAATTTTTGGTCTGTAGTTGCAATGATTAACCCATTGTAGTGTAACTAATAGTACGACTTGGACATGCACTATCGAAACACCTAATTAACCATATCGGCCATAATTAACTACGATGTCATGTACATTACTGAATATAGAAAGATATCACAAACTACCTGGTCCTTCTTTTCAAGTAGACCACATAACGTATCATAACTGTGTTCTTATAGGAATTAAAAACAATTAAGTGGATTGTTTTATACGGTGGCGTTTAAAGGATTTAATCCTTTTTTGTGTGCTATCCAACCAAACCTGGCAATTATGTAGAAACGCTCGTTAGAGTTAATACAACGACTAAGGTTATGGCAAATGGAGGATATCAAAACCTACGAATAAGAGGATATTCGTGCACGAAAGGGAACGACTGGTCAACTGATGGGCAGTATGCAACAATTGTTCCATTTGTTAAATCATTACACTGTCATCCAAGTGAAATGCAATAGGAGGTAGTGGTAATGAAAATGATCAAGGTCGTAGTTGAAGTAGTCCTACTGGTTAAAGCTTTTATAATGATATGCTGACAATGATAGTTAAGAAAAGGAGAATTGACAATTAAGCATGAGATTACATAATAATTTGCTTGAATGTTAATAGAATCTCGGAAATTTTATTAAATTCCACTAAATTTTCGAGATTCCGTATTGGGCACCTTTATAAAAGCATAAGTTTGAAGAGTTGGCGTTAATGAGCCCGTAGTGCCAAACGTTCAACTCCATCAAGCAACATAGAAACGATTGAATTGATAGTTGGTTTATAGAATGGTTTTCTCTAGACAACATATGTACCGCGCCGATGCAGCTATCCTCCCAGACAAGTCCAGTACCAAATTGTCGACCCAGAGGTATAAAGAGCGCAGTTTCCTACAGCGTGGGAACGCGCCGATGACAACGTCTGTATTGCAGGATGCCTTTAATAAATATAACACACAAGCTCAAAACGCCTTAAGGGACTCATGAAAGCGATAAAAAATCAAAGAATGAGCTTTCAAAATTTAATAAAGTGATATGAATGCGTATGAAAAGTATGAAAAACAACGAAAACAAAATAACCTACTGTTATCCGAAAACATATTGTTAATGAAGAGGCTTTTAATAGACGACTGGACAAATGTAGGTGGTATATTTAAAGTAGATCTACAAGGATTTCCGGAGAAGCACGACATTTTTTCGAGTGGATTCGTCTTCTATGTTACCGCAAAACCTGGAAGCACTCGTCTTCCGAAAGTGCTATGGCGTACGTGTAAATCAGTTGTGACAGCAAGCGTCTAGATTGCTGTATTAAATGGCATGTGGAAGTCGCCGAAATTTCGAATTTCATAGCTTGTTCAATTAAATATTTGGATATTTTCTATGTCCTATGCATTTAGAAGCAAAGTACAAACGTTTCCAACCAGGCTGCTATTTTCAATACACACTATAGCGTGGACAAATGCAAGGACATTGAGTGATAGAAGAGAAAATTACAGCATTCGTGTTCTAGAAAACAATCTACCATGATTTTACTTTAACACTATGATTATTTATGCCCAAATTTCTAACACGTTATTGCCCTTATTCATTTTGTATTTGACATAATGGCGACGAGGACTACTTTTTGCCCCATGTGCTTTGTTCCCCGTTATGAATAGTTCCAGCCACAGCAGGGGTTCTTCAATGGCTCTCGATAATTTTTGTACAACTAAATACCTAAGGATTTGCAAACTTATGCGCAGAATGGATTATAAAAGAACCGTTATCCTACTGTTTTTGGGTATATTAGTTATTGCTCTTCTCTCATTCTAAAAGAGTTCATGGTTGGGCTCATTGTTGCGACTGTAGAGGATATACCAGCCAGCCGCTCCAGATGGCGTTCTACTGTCCATCTCTATATGTTAGGAACGAAAAACAAGTGGTCAGTATTCCATGATTAGCATTTAGGACGGCGCAGGTAGCGAATTGCTTAGGAGCGCCATGCCATAAATGCGTGGTCTTTGGTACGACCCCTCATTCCAAACACATCAACCCTTTAAACCATCTGGGATCTGAAAACTGGTACCGGATTTCTCTGAGAGGATAAGAAACATTGGTTTGACAGATCAGTAGGCTCTTGTTAGCCACTCTATATGCCAAATATACATTCAACTAAACTCATCTCTTAGAGAATGATCAACGCCAGAACGCCGTATTCTTTATCCTTTATATGGACTAGTTTCATACGACTTTCACTTTCAACGGTTAAGTACGAACGTTTCTTCCACGTATCCACTCAGACGAGTTTGGCCAGCGCGTGAAGAGACTATTTCGAGAGTATCGAAAAAATGTAGACAACTGACTTCTAGATCCTGGTTACTCTTTTACGTTTGATTTATGAAGATAGATTGTCTGTAGCTACACGTTCAGAAAGCGACTCTGAAAACATATAGACGTAGCGTTCCATACTACATGGCGTTAGTAAAAATTCAGGCCTCCGAATTCACTGGCATACAAATGAACAGAGTTAACAACAGTTTCAGTCATTGCAACAAATACCTTTACTCAGTCGATGAGTCAATAACGTCTGCGGACAATGGAAGTACCGAGTGCAGTGATAATTACTATGTAAAGTGTGCAAACTGTAATGATTGCGGATTATACCGATTGTAAATTGTAGGTGAAAAATGTTGATTGTAGAAGTTTAAATTGTTGAGATTGTAAATAGCACAGAGAAAGTGAAATAATACGAGTTGATGAATATGAAATAAGTCCGAATTTGCCCGATGCTGTTGACATCAACAGAACATTATGAAAATAAGAGTTTGAAATGAGCCACACTATGCGATACCAGTTTCCACAGTACTATTATTGGAGCAATTATTACACCATTGTTATTAATTGAACTTTCTCTAAAATAAACGCCAACTGATGCCAAAACTTTTCTGATTAGTCGTACCGAGGTTATAGGAAATTCGGTTTTGAAATTTTGTTCTACTCCTTGCTAGCT